ATGCCCTTCCAGCTGCAACCCATCACTGAAAAACACCCATACACACTCATTCACACACATACACTAAGTAAAATTAGCTTACCAAATTTACCTGTACCACATGTTTTTGGACTTGTGGGGGAAACCGGAGGACCCAGAGGAAACCCAAGCCAACGTGGCGCCGCTTCAAGTGAGATTTCAGATTAGTCGTATTTTACAGATGCGCGGCACATTTTGCAAATTGCATCTGTCCTGTCATGTCGTCCATCCTTAAATCCATAATGTTGCCACACTTTAGATTTAGAACTCAGTGGGGAATAAAATGTTTGTTTTGCTTCTCGCGCTTTCTGAGGGCGCACCACTAGCTTCATCCGCACACCTGATACACTGAGTTGTAGTGTAAGTGTACACATCCGCAAATCCGTTGCTAAGGCTTACTTTATGTAGGTCGATTAAATTATGCGCCAAAAACAGGTTGACAACACTTGTTAATAAATAAAAAATACATTCTATGTTAAAAATATAAGCTGTATCTCGCAAAAACCGATGCATCCCGATTTGCTTCCAAAATTTCATTCATCCTCTGCTGCTCAACCAATGCACTCGCATCGTGCACGCGCATGACCGCGTATCGATACATATCGGTTAATCTTCCCATCCCTAGTTTGCGGAGGTTCGCTTTGGGTGCACGCGACATGATTCAGAGCGCATGGTTTTTTGGAGACTTGAGCGAACAGTTCACGCTGTACAGCTCTTTATGGTCCGTGATCATGGAGATAACCAGATGATTAATAATTCTTGGCTAGAAATTTCAAGTTTTTGTTTGGAAAAACCTGAGGGATGAGTTTGTTAAAGCCAAAAGAGGACATGGCAAAAGTGGAGACCAGGTACACAATTACAGAAATATGTTTTTCCATCAGTCATAAGCTTTACACTGATGTATATATTACAGTATTGAGTTTAAAACAATTTAATAGTTACAAAACTACAATTAAGAAACAAGTTATTTATTTGATAACTGGGAAAGAATGTTTGAGCTGTTTACAATATACTGATGCCTGTTTTTCTGGGCTTTATTGGTGATAATGTCAGAAATGTTGAACCATTATTGCCTTTTTAGCATATCAGCAGGGGACAGAAACTAGCCAGCCAGTAATGTGTGAATTGTGGAGCGGGCTAAATCTAAAAATTACATCTGTATTTTTATTTAGTGTATATATATATTTTTTTGTTTTTGCTTTTATTCTTGCTATAACAAAAATATATATGTAGAGCAACACATGTTCTGTTTTCAATAATATTTAAATAAACTTTAATAGGTAAAACTGTCTGAGATGTGTACAAACGCAAGTGATGCATCAAAGTTTGATTAATGGTCATAAAAATCCATAATAAAAATAATGAGTTTAAAAATATTGAATGATATTAATGAAAAGACAAAGTTTTGTAAACTTTCTACTTCTCTGTTTATGCGTCTGACTTTACGGTCAGTTTCTTTTAACCCCCTGTCATTTAAAGAATGCGGCAAGAGGGTATATGCCGAACTAGTGTTGTTCCCATACTGATAAACTTCCGGTGACCTGTTATTGTAATTTTTTAAAAATTTTATACGGTTCCTTTTACAGCATCGATGTTGTAATGTAATTAAAATACATTCAGTTAAACAGATTCATTTAGTTGCTCAAGCGTAAAACGTGAGAAAAAGTTGTTTACTCGCACGCGACCGTCAGAATCGGCAGGCTAGCACAGAAGCTCCATTGAATATACTAGGATAAAATAAAAGCTCATATTATAAAGACATGGCGGGGGAAATGTAATTTAATGCAGGGCTTCTTATACAATCTGAGAACCACTTTATATCGTGTATCACTCAGCCAGTGGAGATTGCTGATTTTTAAAGAAAACAAACCTTAAACGCGCTAATTTTTGCATTGGCATACAGTAGACCGGAAGCGCTTAACCCAGGTAACTGGCAAGTTAAAAGTCCTATTAGCATGCTTCGGCATATACCCTATTATAAAAGCCTTGTCGGTTTCATGAGATGTGCGCGCAGTCAGTGAATACGCCTGGTGCCGCAACGGTGAGGCTGTAATCATGATGACGTACTGGACCAGATCCAATACGTAGTGGACATTGCATCGCCCACTAGAGTAAAGTCCAAACTACAGTGATGGTTGGGTTTGGGGTAGGGGTGATTGTCCATTGCATAGTGGACCTGGTCCAGTATAACATCAAGCTGCAGGCTGCAGCAAGGATTGTCTCAACTCGTTATTTCCAATGAAGGCGCATGCATCCATGCTGCGAGCACATCGCAAGTCACGTGTCAAGAACTGACGATCAACTTTTTGTAAGGAATGTACACACTTCGGTAGGCTAATTATTTCAGAGGAGCACTGCAGTGCTTTTTCATGTCCTCCATAAATAAAACTGAGTTGTCAGAGTTGCAGAAATGTTTTGTCATGGTCACCTATAGCCTTGAGACCATGTTAAAATGGTCAAACGTTGACTGATCCACAGTGATAAAAAGGTTGGGGACCTTTTTAGTCATTTGAACAAACAGCAAACTTCATTTTTGAGTGTGCCACATAACTATTATTCAGTGTTTTTTGGCATTTAAAGAAAAAATTCAGACAAAATTGTTCATTTACTCATTATTTATGTTCAAGAGGTCTGAAATATTATGAGTTTCTTCCTTCTGTTGAATGCAGAAGATATTTTGAAGAACACTGGAAACCAGTAGCCACTTAGAAAGAAATTAACACTCTATGAAAGTGGCTACTGATTTCCAAAATTCTTCAGTATTTCTTCTTTTGTGTTCAACAGAAGACAGAAACTCAAGCACATCTGGAAAAAGTGAAGGATGAACCTTTAGTTCCCTCAATAATGAAACTTCTGTCATCAATTACTCCCCCTCACACTCATTTCAAACCTAGTTTCTTTCTTACAGTAGGTTGAAAACAAAGGAAGATATTCTGAAGAATGCTGAGGGGGAAAAACAACCATTGACTCCCTATAATAGTTTTGTTCCTACTACGGATGTCAATGCCTGCTCTTTAGACTAAAGGGGCTTTTTAGAGCAACCTGACTGTGAGTAAATGGTAAAGAAATGTTAATTGTTGGGAGAACTGTCCCTTTAAGACCCTTCAGAAATGAGCACAGACGAACATCCAGATCTCAGAGCTCTTGACAGCAGCATCCAACCACAGCGATTGACCGTAGACAATCAAAGCATCAAACTGAAACCTCAGAGAGCAGAAACAATCCACACCAAACCATCAAGAGTATTTAATCAGCCTCAAAACACACACTGACCACCAGCGGTTCACAGAGAACATCTCCTCATCAGCAGACGACATTCACAGCCGGATGCTTTAAATAAGCATAAACAATGAATATCTACACATTTCAGAGGTGCAAGTTTAGGATCCTAAGTGTTCTTTATTGTTTACTAATAACAATTAGATTATAAATAACAATTACAGCAAAGTAGATTACATATATATTTCCATCTACTCCATGGTTGAAATTCATGATTCAGATTGGCTGGAAGGCGTGCAATATATTCGTCTAATTCACAGGTAATTCCACTCAGCTTTGACCATAAGTCAAAATTAATGTGCTTCCCTCAAACATTAGAAGTAACCACAGTAACTCTCAATCATTCATTCATTCATTCATTCACCGCCAACTTATCCAGCATAGGTTTTTACACAGCTGATGCACTTCCGGCTGCAACCCAGTACTGGGAAACACCCACACACACTCACTACAGCCAATTTAGTTCATTCATTTCCACTATAGCACATGTGCTCGGACTGTGAGGGAAACCAGAGCACCCGAAGGGGAACCCACGCCAACACGGGGAGAACCATGTTGATCCCACGAGGAAACGTGAGTATTTTACGTTTTGTCAGTTTAGTGGCTAATTCGTACGAATTCGAGTTCAGTCGTACGAAAATGTATGATTTTAAAAAGGAGGCGTGGCACCTAACCCCACCCCTAACCCCAACTGTAATTGGGTGATAAGCAAATCGTACTAAATTGCACAAATTAGATCGTGCAAATTTATACGAATTAGCCACTAAATCAAAAAGCTACAAATTGCCATGAGATTGCATTGGGAGAACATGCAAACTCCACACAGAAATGCCAACTGGCCCAGTCGGGACTCGAACCAGCGACCTACTTGCTGTGTGGCGACAGTGCTAACCACTTGCCATGCGCTTTACAAGCTACACCACTCAGACTGCTGATTCTTGCTCTCTTTAGTTATGTGATCTCTTTCAATCAAACGGTGATGGGCAGGAATTACTCAACTAACTTATTGCAACGAGGTGCGCTATTTGCACTTAGCCTAAGTAGACACTACAAAATCAGCACACCCCTGGGCCTGTGCCCATAATGCCCATTGGTTAATCTGGCCCTGGTTCAGTGTAATGCAAATGATATACAGTTGAAGTCAGAATTATTTACCCTCCTCAATTATTAGCCCCCTGTATATTTTTTCCCAAATTCTGGTTAACAGAAAGATTTTTTTCAACACATTTCTAAACATAATCGTTATAATAACTTATTTCTAATAACTGATTTATTTTCTCTTTATCATGATGACAGCACATAATATTAGACTAGATATTCTTTGAGAAACTAGTATTCAGCTTAAAGTGGCATTTAAAGGCTTCAATAGGTTAATTAGGGTAAAGTTCGGGTAATAGGCAAGTCTTTGTATAGCAGTGGTTTGTTCTGGAGACAATCCAAAACTAATATTGCTTAAGGGGGCTAATAATATTGACCTTAAAATGGCTTTAAAACAATTAAAAACTGATTTTATTCTAGCTGAAATAAAACAAATAAGACTTTCTCCAGGAGAAAAAATATTATAGGAATTACTGTGAAAAATTCCTGAATCTGTTCAACATCATTTAGGAAATATAAAAAAAATAAAATAAACCAAAATTCACAGGAGGGCAAATCATTTTGACTTCAACTGTATGGCATATACAGTCTGTCTGAATGCTGACCTGCGCTGTTCCTCTCCATGTTCTCCAGATGGGACGGTCAAACACTCGTCCATGTGACCATGCAGCAGTCGTAAAACATCTCCACCAATCAGGAAGCCTGAAACAGACAGTGTTTGAATGAACATTAAAGGTTGAAGTGATTTAAAATGTGCATTTTTTATTCGATGTTTGACGTAATCTCAACTAAACATGAAAAGAGGGCGGGGCATATAGTTGCTCCTCCCCTTTTTAAAAAAAACAGCCAATAGCTTTTTGTTTTATCACAGCTCTGCCAGTGAGTGGCAGAGCTCATTCGCATCAAATTAAAGCGAATGAGAGGAAAAGGGGCGGGGCATGTCAGACACTAGAGAGCATCTGATTGGTCAGAAGATTTGATGAGAAACTGAAGTATGAGGAAACGTGAAAAAAAATTGCTGATCCTTTAAAGCAGAAGCAAGCTTTGGATGTTGATATCAGTTTTATATCTTCTAAACGCTTTTTAACAGATATCATTAAAACTAACAGATTGAAAGTAAAGAAATTTTATTTAATTTCACGGGACCTTTAAGTTAAATGAAGTGACATTTCAGTTAAGTAGTAAACTGCTCTCTCACCCTGAGCCACTTCACTCCCCGAGCAGATGGGCACCACACTCCAGAGCGTCTGCTGGAAAGCTGCGTCCACGTGTAAACTGCCGTTCCCATACGACAAGTGCTGCAACAGAGAGATGCAGTCAGATTCTGATTCATCAACCTCCTGTTTTAGGGACTGAAAGCTCTGAAGTGATTGAGTTAGACAGCAGACTGAGTGAAACATGAGCTGCGCAGCCCCTGCATGATCATCTAACTGATATGTATGAACAGATACTCACCAGGTAACGTTCAGAAGACACACTGACCAGAATGAGATCATCACCCACCCGCACCTTCTCACCCTCGGACCGTTGTTTGGATGCAGGATGGATCGTCCACCAACATGCCTCACCTGCAAACACACATTTATCCACATGAGTCTACAGTGCATCTGGAAAGTATTCATGGCGCTTCACTTTATCCACATTTCTTTATGATGCAGCCTTATTCCAAAATGGATTAAATTAATATATTTCCTCAACATTCTACACACAATCCCCCATAATTCATTGGAGTTCCCCTGTGGTCATTTCAGCTGATTTGACTGGATCTGAAAAGGCATACACAGGTCTATATAAGGGCCCAGGGTTGACAGTGCATGTCAAAGCACAAACCAAGCATGAAGACAAAGGAATTGTCTGCATACCTCTGAGAAGGGATTGTCTCAAGGCATAAATCTGGGGAAGCTTACAGAAAATTTTTGCTGCTATGAAAGTTCCAATGAGCACAGCGGCCTCCATCATCCGTAAGTGGAAGATGTTTAACCACCAGGACTCTTCCTAGAGCTGGCCGGCCATCTAAGCTGAGTGATCAGGGGAGAAGGGCCCTAGTCAGGGAGGTGATCAATAACCAGATGGTCACTCTGTCTGAGCTCCAGCGTTCTTCTGTGGAGAGAGAAGAACCTTACAGAAGGACAACCATCTGTGCAGCAATCCACCAATCAGGCCTGTATGGAGGAGTGGCCAGACGGAAGACACTCCCCGCCTGGATTTTGCCAGAAGGCATCTGAAGGACTCTCAGACCATCAGAAACTAAACTCTCTGCTCTGATGAGACTAACATTGAACTGTTTGGAGTGAACGCCAGGCGTTACGTTTGGAGAAAAGCAGGCAGCGCTCATCACCAGGCTAACAGCATCCCTACAGTGCAGCATGGTGGTGTTGGCATCATGCTGTGGGGATGTGTTTCAGCAGCAGGAACTGGAAGACTAGTCAGGATAGAGGGAAAGATGAATGCAGCGATGTACAGAGACATCCTGAATGAAGACCTGCACAAGAGTGCTCTCGACCTCAGACTGGGGCGATGCTTCATCTTCCAGCAGGACAATGACCCAAAGCACACCGCCAAAATATCAATGGAGTGGCTTCAAAATGACTCAGTGAATGTCCTTGAGTGGCCCAGCCAGAGCCCAGAGCTAAATACTATTGAACATCTCTGGAGAGATCTGAAAATGGCTGAACACTGTCGCTTCCCATCCAACCTGATAGAGCTTGAGAGGTACTGCAAAGAAGAATGGGCAAACATTCCCAAAGACAGGTGTGCAGAGCTTGTGCATCATATTTAGAAAGACTTGAGGCTGTGATCGCTGCCAAAGCTGCATCAACAATGTGTTGAGCAAAGACTGTGAATACTGATGTACATGTGATTTATCAGCTTTTTATTTTTTAAAAATCTGCAACAATTTCAAAAACTCTTTTTTCACATTGTCATTATGGGGGATTGTGTGTAGAATGTTGAGGAATTTTTTTATATCTTAATTTTTACAAAAATTGTCTGTATTTTTTATTTATACACCCCCCACTCTCCTCTAACTTAAACTCCTCGCAATAACTGCACTGTTTCACATTTGCACATTTAAAAATTTGTAATACATTGTAATTTGTAAAACATTTGTAATTATGTAGACACCCACTATACATATACACTTGTAATCATGCTTATTTATCTGCACACTACTGATTATTAATAGCAACCTGCACATATATTCATATATTGTAAATCTGCTCATAGCTTATCCAACCTGTATATAATGTTGATAGTACATCCATCTGTAAATATCACCATAGTTTTCTATAACTGCACTTTATAACTTATTCCTGTATCCTGCACTTGCTGCTGTTGCACTGCTGGTTAGACCTAAACTGCATTTCGTTGCATTGTACTTGTACATGTGTAATGACAATAAAGTTGAATCTAATCTAATCTAATCTAATCTAATCTAATCTAATATATATATATATATATATATATATATATATATATAAATTCATCTTGTAGTGTTTTTGTTATTTGTATGCACTCAGGGTCTGAGGATAACGTAATTTCAAAGCAATTTCACAATTTTAAAAAGAACAAAGAAGGATTAAAATGATTTTAAAAAGATTTAAAATGTTAAAACAGATTCAAATGAAACAAAATCTAACACTAACATAAGTCCTACGTAGAATTTAAGTTTAATATTTCAATATTTGTTGACCAAGTCATAAATATAAAGTCTTTATGTCTGATATTAGATTATTAATATTAAGCTTCCATTTCTGATTATATGATGAAAAATGACCGGCGCATGTTCCTGAAGAGTGTTCTGTGTAATTAACAGGACGTGACATCACCTGTTGCGTCTTCCTGTAGTCCCACGTCAAAAGCCAGTTTGTCGGTGGACGAGCGAGCCGTAGAGAGACAGCACAGATACTGGAGAGAGAAACACATCAGCACATAGACCTCACACACACACACACAAGAAGATATATCATAAGAGCAACACACACCATTCCGCTGTAGGAGTGTCTCAGTAAGACTGCATGACCATAGAGCAGCGTCCGGTGACCTCCGCCTTGTGCTGTCTGAAACACACACACACAGAAAGCGCATTGATCACTGATACACACTCCACATAATTAAACAATAAATAAAAGTCATCAGCTTCACATTTACAGCAGAATCACACAACAGCCATGTACACAAACATGTTTATACAATTATATCATCATGTTTATATTAGATAGAATTAAATGTGTATATCAAACATTATTATATAGAGAGGTCTTTCCCATATAATAACAATAGTTCTACTACAGGAACCACCTACAGAGAGCAAAACCACTCCAAATTCACAAATACTGCTGCATTTGTTTCACTTAATGCTGACTTTTAATGCACAAATATAGTAATGAGTGTGCTAGTATTTGTGACTGTAAAACTTCATACTTCCCGTCTATATGAAAGTAACTCTGCATTCCTTTGGTACTAGTTCTATAGCACGCTTTGGGTTTTACTGTATATTAAGTGGGCATAAATACTATGCACTTGCATCAAAGAATAAGTACAACGTACTTACTGTGTTCATAATTTAGGGTTAGGGAAAGGTTTGGTGGTATGTGTAGGTTTAGTGATGGGTTATGGTGTATGGGATGGTGAACAGTGTAATTAAAGCATGCAATTGCAGAAATTAATAACAGATGTAATTAAATGCATGTATTTAATCAATCAGAAGTACAGCGTGAAAACATGTATTTACACAATAAGTATATTGTTACAAATGATTTGTTTTTAGTGTATGTGCATATTAGTTAAGGCCCTTTAATTTAAAGTGTGACCAAAGTTTTTCAATTTAAATATATACACCCGCTGGCCACTTTATTAGGTACACCTGTCCAACTGCTCGTTAGCGCAAATTACTAAATCACATGGCAGCATTTAGGCATGTAGACATGAACAAGACGATCTGCTGCAGTTCAAAGCGAGCATCAGAATGGGGAAGAAAGGAGATTTAGGTGACCTTGAACGTGGCATGGTTGTTGGTGCCTGACTGAGTATTTCAGAAATTTCTGATCTACTGGGATTTTCACGCACAACCATCTCTTGGGTTTACAGAGAATGATCTGACAAAGAGGAAATATCCAGTGAGCGGCAGTTCTGTGGGCGCAAATGCCTTGTTGATGCCAGAGGTCAGAGGAGAATGGCCTGCCTGGTTCCAGCTGATAGAAAGGCAACAGTAACTCAAATAAGCAATCGTTACAACAGAGCTCTGCAGAAGAGCATCTCTGAACACACAACACATCCAACCTTGAGGCGGATGGGCTACAGCAGCAGAAGAGCACACCGGGTGCCGCTCCTGTCAGCTAAGAACAGGAAACTGAGGCTACAATTCACACAGACTCACCAAAACTGGACAATAGAAGATTGGAGAAACGTTGCTGCTCTGATGAGTTTCCATTTCTGCTGACACATTCAGATGATCGGGTCAGAATTTGGCATCAACATGAAAGCATGGATCGATCCTGCCTTGTATGATTGGTTCAGGCTGGTGGTAGTGGTGGTGTAATGGTGTGGGGGAGATTTTCTTTGGGTTCATTAGTACCAATGGAGCATCATGTCAACGCCACAGCCTACCTGAGTATTGCTGCTGACCATGTCCATCCCTTTATGAGCACAGTGTCTCCATCTTCTGATGGCTACTTCCAGCAGGATAACACACCATGTCATAAAGCTCAATCATCTCAGACTGGTTTCTTAAACATGATAATGAGTTCACTGTACTCAAATGGCCTCCACAGTCTCCAGAGCTCAATCCAATAGAGCAGCTTTGGGATGTGGTGGAACGGGAGATTGGCATCATGGATGTGCAGCCGACAAATCTGCAGCAACTGTGTGATGCTATCATGTCAATATGGAGCAAAATCTCTGAGGAATATTTCCAGCAGCTTGTTGAATCTCTGCCATGAAGGATTAAAGCAGTTCTGAAGGCAAAAGGGGTCCAAACTGGTACTAGTAAGGTGTGCCTAATAAAGTGGCCGGTGAGTGTATTTTACAGTACATTTATTTATACAGTATGTTTAGCAGGTAACACTTCAGTTTAAGTAAAAATTCACACTATAACTACTAGCTTATACCTGCCTATTATTAAGATGTGAACTGTTTATAAGTATTAATAAAAAGTGATCTTATTCTACACCCCCAAACCTACCTAATACTTAACAGCTACTATACTGACTATTAATAAGCAGCTAATTAATAGTTTATTGATCTCAGGGTCTTAGTTAATGATTTATTAATAGCGTGAATTGTACATTTAAGGTAAAGTGTGAGAGTTTTGATCTTTCATGTACACATTACATCTAATACAAGAGGACTCATGAACCCAATTGCAAATAAATGGACACGACAAACTGCAATTTACACACAATAAACGAACATGAAGAATCTCGACACGTCAGATGAGTCTAAATCAGTGAGTGTTTTTCCATCAGAGGATCCTGAGAATCAGCACTTCCTGAGTGTGTGAGTCTTAATGGCTCTCCTACAGCCATGTGTGTGTGTGTGTTTCTGTGTTAATGGCTCTCTTAAGGCTGTGTGTGTGTGTGTGTTTCAGGTAATGGCTGCAGTAATGCTTGAGGACAGGAAGAACAGGACCTTTATTTTCTCATTACACTCAGTCCAGCACTCGCTCTCGTCTCACAGGAATAACACTGCATTCACATCTACATTACACTACATCACAGCACTGCAGGACGCACAACAACGACACGGAGACACAAACACACACACACAGACTCCTACCTTCATCATGAATTTCTGTGGCCCATGAGAGGAAGAAAGACAATGTTAATGACAGAGGAAACCCAGATGAGATCAGGAATCTACATGATGCTGAACGCCTTGCATACAGTACAGTACTACTCACTACTCGTGTTCTGCAGTATGCAGTATGTGCTACAGAATGCAATGTGCTTAAGCAGATCTTTCGCTGAGCACAAGAGCCAGCTCTGAAACCATTACGTCTTAAAGTCTGCATAAACCAGAAGTTTCAGAAACGTTTATTTCAGTATGTTGATGTACTTCCAGCTGAAGGTTAATATTGAGAAGGGGGCGGGGCTTTCTCTTTGTGCATCATTCACTTATAGCAAACTAACGGTAAGGGGGTGTGGTTAAAAATATTAGGCGAGTTAGACGTGAAGCACGACTGCAGCCAATGATCAACAAGATTAGCCGAGCGCAGGCGGAGGCAGAGTTGAAAACCGAGACATCAAGCCAGACACTTCGGGGACTCAAAGTTGCTGCAGTCAAAATGACCGATCACATGGCGTCATCATTCATTTATTATTTATTTATTTATTGCAATAACAACGAAATATATACAGTACAAATAAATCAGAATACAGTCTCTACAAACTATAGTTAATTTTTAAACAAAAATACTCAATGGGCATTATGGGCACAGGCCCAAGGGCATGTCCGCACTTTGGCGCCCCTGCGAGGGGGGGGAAAATGCTGATTTTGGAGTGTCTATTTAGGATAAGTGCAAGAAGCGCACCTCGTTGGAATACCGTTTGATTGACAGAGACGACATAACTAAAGAGCGCAACAGGCTGAAGCGTAAGCGGCGTATCTCGTAAGACGCATGGCAACATCATTGATCGTGAACCCGGTTCGAATCCAGCGCCTGATGAACACGTTCTTCTTTTCCCCCCCAATACATATCAGATTTTGCCTACTCTTCATCACGAGGAAGACAATCATTAATAAGTGTGTGTATTATGAAGGACTCAGACTCCTAGAACTGGATTGGAGAGGTGTTATAACCAATTCATGTGCATTATAAGTTAGTAGAAGTTATGCATTAAAAATACCCTTAAATATAAATTGTAGTACTGCTTCAGTGAACTTGAACAACCATATTAAAATCCATTAATTTTTACTAATTGTATTAGTATTTTTTTCAAAGTGTGCTTGAAAAAAAAAAAAAAAAAATATATATATATATATATATATATATATATATATATATATATATATTTTTTTTTTTTTTTCATGTGGGCAATACATTATAGATTCATTTTATTGAACAAATATTATATTAATCTTATTTTTGAATTCTTTAAAAAAAATGTAAAAACTATTGGGGTGCAGACAGGCAGGGGGCCTACAAGACATTGTGCCCAGGGGCCTCTGAATTATTAAACCAGGCCTGCAATAAGGGAATTATGAATTAAAAGTAGCCTATATAACAAACACATGAGAAATAACAAAAGGGCACATAAAAAAGAAAATAAATATCCACGAACAGGATTATTTTGGATAATGAAAGCATTTTTTTTTAAATGCTGAACAAAAGGACCAAAATAAATGAGCTACACTTAGCAGAAGTTTACCAGAAAGAGCAACATCAATGTCGCTTTTAAAATATCTGCATAAACGGCTTGACAGGAAATAAAGCAATTAATAATCAGCACCAACATACATGGCGAGCTACTGAACAAACTGGTGACAACAGGAAAGCAGTCCATATGGTGGTAAGCGGTCAGCTGAGACCTACTTCTGGCTACATAATTTGGGATCTGTAGGAATGTATACACTGTAAAAAATTTATCTTGAAGCTTGTAATTTTCATTTTAAAAAATTGATGAACTTAGCACTAAGTTTGGTGAACTGAACAATTCAAGTATATAATCTACTTAAGTACTAAGTTTGGTGAACTGAACAATTTAAGTATAATCTACAAAACCGGCAAGTTAAATAAACTCATACATGCAAGTTTTGGGAGACTCCATTACTCAATTAAATTAAGGCAACAAGTTTACTCAATTAATTTAGCTCAGTCAACTTATTCAGTGTAGGAGGCGGACTAATAAATGCTAGATTGATAAATAAACAGAAAGGAATATCGGCTATATATGAATAAAGCAAAATAATGTTTTACACCAGGTAAATGCAACACTACTGTAGCACTACATACTGCATACTGCATTCACTCATTACTGCAGACAGCAGTCAGTGTATATCGTGCAGCACTTCACAGTCTCATGATCTCTTCATGTCTAAGGTCTGTGCATGAGACTGAAGAACACGAGCACACAAGAAGCTCTCAATAGAGAAACAGCAGTCAGACATGCAGAGGTCAGACGGACAACTGGACCAGCATCATATATGACTGTTTGGGCTGCTCAAAACAATACGCTACTATGCTATGATCAAATGAAGACGTGAGGTAGAAAGTGCAATGCAAGAACTATGAAGATACATTGACTGGAGACACAAAATAACAGAAAGTCTTGTTTTCTGAGTCAGTGTGATCAGGAAAATATCTTTTCCCTTTATATTTTTTTCTGACCCCACAGACAGACGGGTTCATATTTCAAGAATAATCACGTCAGCGTCTGGAGCGAAAGCATCTTGATTTTGAACATCTTTTCTGGACTGAGGAAGAGCAGTTCAACCAGAGGTGTAAAAAGATCATTCATGATGAACACCTTTGTGTTGTTTAAACCCACGTTAAAAATGCATGAGATGAGAATCAGTTTTGTATGATGAGCAGCGTGAACATTCTGCTGAATCTCTCCTCTGTTGTTTCACAAAACAATGAATGTTATCTGATCCTTCAGCCTGATCTCACGAGAGTATTTTACGTTTATTTACAAATTCGTACGAGTTCAGTCGTACGAAATTGTACGATTTTAAAAAGGAGGCGTGGCACCTAACCCCACCCCTAACCCTAACCGTCATTGGGGGATGCGCAAATCGTACTAAATTATACGAATTAGATCGTACGAATTCATACGAATTAACCACTAAATCAAAAAGTTACGAATTGCCGTGAGATTGTGTTGGATCCTGAAAGCAGAACCCCAAAAAAAAAGAATAATTAAAGAAAATACTGGTGTGACATTATGACAATAACAGTCATAACAAATGAATGAGTGAAGCCCGCGCTGTCAGAACATGCAATGTTCACACATGCAAAAAATGAATCAGGCCTGTGTGTGTGTAATCAGGTATATGTGGTTTATAGGGACACAAAGTTGTATAATTGCATGGGTAAAACTTAGCTGTACTCTATTAAGGTGTCCCTTTATCTCGTGTCCCTGCTTAAAAATCATACTTAATTAGGTCATTTGAAATTCTAAATTTGCCATGTTTCATGTGAGTGAGGGTTTAGGGCTAGGGCTTTTACACTACCTGACAAAAGTCTTGTTGCCGATAAAGTTTTAGGAATGGCAAATAATATATTGACTTCTAGTTGATCATTTGGTGTCAGAAGTGGCTTATATGAAAGGCAAAGGCCTCTAGATGACGCTTATTTGAGCACAATAAAATCTGATCATGCCTTTAATGATTTGATGAGGACAGTGCGGTCTGACTCTGCTTAGACTAAAGTCTCATCACTGAACAGAAATAATGTCCAGTATAGAATATAAAGTCCTGCTGCAGTGGAGACAGAATGAATATTGTGTCTGACTCCATCATGAGCTTGGAGGACTGCATCCATACATCTCTGACATGACTCACATCACTGATTAATAAAGTCATCTGGAATGAAGAAGAAAGCCTTCCTGCAGGACTCCCAGAGTTCATCAAGACTCTTTGTGTTCATCTTCAACGCCTCCTCCTTCATCTTACCCCAGACATGCTCAATCATGTTCATGTCTGGTGACTGGGCTGGCCAATCCTGGAGCAGCTTGAGCTTCTTTGCTTTCAGGAGCTTTGATGTGGAGGCTGAAGTATGAGCAGGAGCGCTATCCTGCTGGAGAATTGTCCCTCTCCTGTGGTTTGTAATGTAATGGGCAGCACAAATGTCTTGATACCTCAGGCTGTTGATGTTGATCATCCAAACCATGCCCAAACCATGATTTCTCCTTCACCAAACTTGACTGATTTCTTTATGAATCTTGAGTCCATGTAGGTCTTCTGCAGTGTTTGTGATGATTGGAATGCAGTTCAACAGATGATTCATGGAAAAAATCCACCTTCAGCCACTTTTCCAGATGATCAACTAGAGGTTAATGTATTACTTGTTGTGCTTACGAGATTAAGACTTTTGTCAGGTTGTGCATAATAAGCGGTTTTTATTGTATAAAATACATTACGCCAAGGGAGTGTCCCTGTAAACCGTATAGCGTGTGTGTGTGTGTATGTGTGTGTGTGTATGTGTGTGTGTCCACGTACCCATTTCTCCATGTCTATGAGCTGTGGAGCGATGGAGAAACAACAGAAAGGAAAGAAAGGGAACATCATGCTTCCATCATCATGAAGAAACACACTAGGCTCCTTCATTTCAGCAGAGGATGACGAGAATACGGAGGTTCATCCATCCATCGTTAATTCGTAATTTAATCGTTGCATTCGAGTTTCTTTATCCATTATAGCTTTTGTTATTTACATTTGCTTATCTCCAAAACCACAGGGGGGAAATTCTGGAAACGAGTAGATAATAAACGCCTGTGGGTCATCAGAGTTCAAAGGTCATCCTCTGCTCATCAATGAAAGGAGTCGTGGTGTGGATGTTTTATAGCATCGATACGCTTTTTGTTTTTAGTCACAAAAACAAAGGATAAAACATCATCTCCTTCAGTGTGATCAGATGGTTAGTGAGTTAGTGAGTCAATCGTTAGGTCATTAATATATGAGGCACAGCTGGAATGAGAAAGAAACAAAAAGAGCAGATTGTAGATCTCATCGGCTCATTGTGAGGTCAAAACACACATACACACATACACACACACACACACAACTCACAACACCAGCTAAAGGAATAATTCAGCTAAATGTCAAGCTCCAGAACAGACACAAAAATCTCAAAGTCTAGTGAAGTCGAAGTGTGAGGGGAAAGTTAGGGTGCTTTTACACCTGCCTTATTTAGTTGGGTTGAATCGCACTAGAGTTGGTTTTCCCTCTTGGTGTGGTTCGTTTGGGCAGGTGTGAATGTACCAATCGTACTGGAGTGCGCACCAAAAGCAGACCAAAAAAGCATAGCGAGTCCTCCTTGAAGAGGTGGTTTCGGTGCGCTTTCAAACGAACCCTGGAGCGGTTTGTTTGTGGTGAGAATATGATCCGAACTAAAACCGCAAAAAAGTACTGCGCCGTTTTTGGACTAATCCTGCTGCCGTAGGCCAATGCGCAGTGCATTATGGGATGTGGAGGAAAAATATTTGTTCACAGCACTTTACCAACACACACAGAGAGAGAGAGAGGGGAAAACATTACCTGATGGATCGTTAATAATATTTCCGCAAGATGACCAGGTCGCAGTGTAGCCAAATTAATTTATGCTGATAAAGCATGTTTCGGGCGGCTGCTGCGATCAGATCCTATACCAATGTTGGCAACCTGTGCATTTCTCAGACTGTACCAAAATGCTGAGGACGGCAGGGGGGGCCCTTGAAATTACGAGAGTTTTCTGGGATAAATAACAAGATAGGATGGTGGCGGGAGATGGGTTCGAAATACGGGAGACTTCAGGGAAAAACAGGAGTGTTGGCAGGTATGCTCACACAAACTGCCTACTTCAATTTTGTTGATAAGCCGTGGTGGGCATTTCACTCTGTCTCATGCTGAACGCTGTCGACCAATCCTAACAGACTGTCATCAGTCCAATTAGCGCAGATTAGCATGGCGCTAAGGAGGGGTTTGGGAACAAATGAATTGCTGATCTATTCATATGAGAGTTGCTGGGATAATTAGGTATAAATAAATGCACATTATAAGACAGTTCAAGTGTTTTTGTCAAGTGAGCTTTGGAGACCAATCCATGCGCTGATCGGTAGCTCGCGGCTATAATACTTCGCCATAGTACATGCTATGTGCGCATTGGCGGATACACAGGGAAACTGCACACGGCGTTCATCCAAAACTGTTTACGGAAACTATGTAAACTGTGTCTCACTGTAAAGGTCAGTTGATTGGCTACTTCATCCATCCATCAAAACTTTGCTGGCTAGGCATTGGCTGGCATTATTTAGCGTAAACGCGAGGTGCGAAGATTGACACCTTAACAAAGTATGTAACAAAGGCTGTGACTGGATGATAGAAACAAGGGAGGGATCATTTTGTCCGGAAGAGTCTAGACTACGAGAATAACAGGGCTTTTTTTTCATTAAAATGCGGCATGTAATCAATATTTCATTTTAAAAAGACATCATGCATTATCGAAGCCTAAATGACTCGACGATTTTTCGTTGTTTTCCTAAGTTCTCTTTTGTTTTGGATGAAAAACTGAGATGTATTTTAAATTCTGGACCCTTACACTCATCTGCATGCTGTTGTTTCCTGGAATCGTTACCGCTGATTAGAACTACAGGCGTTGAAACGTAAGCATTACCGTTTATTAAATGTCCGGTCCTTCAGGATTTGATTTAACCCTTTCCTCTCTGGTGCACAGATTTGAAAAACAAGTTAAGAACAAGAAACTAGAGTGTCATAACTTTATGTTTTTAATAAATAGTTGAATATTTGCAATAAACGAAGGTAAATTCCACAGCCACGCCTAGCCACGCCCCGGCGGCCCGAATACGGGCCCCTGCTTACTATTGGGTTAACCTTCCATGCAGATAAGCCTGTTGTTGGAGACCCCAAAACCAAAATATGACCTTTTTAAAGTACAATAGGGGCTGTTTAATTATTAGTAGATCATTCTTTCAGCGGTATCCATGTGAGATCAGTGGACTTTCCCAAATCTCTCCCAAATGGGGGTACATGAGTAACATTGATGTAAAGATTGACCAGTGGCCACTGACAGCTATTATAAAACAGAATGGTATTGTTTTTGTGACTTATTGTAAGGGATTGTGTGTTTTCTATGAAGACATTTTTTAAATTTATGTAAGTGTCTAATAAAGAAGATTGTTTGTACAACTCTCTGCTTGATACTTCCATTTGTTTGGCGAAAACCTGTAGTTGTGGGCATTAAGAAAGTCCACCTGTATTTAACTATATTTTAGTAATTTATGGGCCCCGGTCACACTAACTCTAGCTGACTGACATTGACTGACTGTTGTGTGTTGTAACTGTTGTAATGCATCATGTCACAAAAACTGCCTTCTTTCATCTGAGTAATATTGCTAAGTTAAGAAGTATGCTATCCATCTCAGATGCAGAAAAGCTAGTCCATGCTTTTATGAGCTCTAAGCTGGATTACTGCTCTGTTCGCTGGCTGCCCAGCATCCTCTATTAACAAACTTCAGCTAGTACAAAATGCAGCAGCCAGAGTTCTGACCAAGTCTACAAAATATGATCACATCACCCCAATTTTATCCTCCTTACACTGGCTGTCTGTTAAGTTTCGTATTGAATTTAAAATATTGCGTCTTACCTATAAAGCTTTAAATAATCAAGCTCCTGTTTATCTAACCAACCTTCTGTCTCGCTACAATCCAACCCGCTCTTTAAGATCTCAAAACTCAGGGCTTCTGGTAGTACCTAGAATAGCAAAGTCTACTAAAGGAGGTCAAGCCTTCTCATTTATGGCTCCTAAACTCTGGAATAGCCTTCCTGATGATGTCCGAGGCTCAGACACACTCTCTCAGTTCAACACTAGATTAAAGACCTATCTGTTTAGTAAAGCATACACTCAGTGCATCGCTTAGCGATTCGATACATGAATGTGCTCCACACAGGTTTCTGCATTTCGTTTATATACACTACGAACAGCATCTACGCTAAATATTTAATTTAATTAATCTAATTATTCTCTATTTCCACCTGGGGATACTCATCTCGAGGCCCTCAGACTACGCAGAGTCACTGATTCGATCCAAGACCAGCGACGAGATGATCCTAAAGGTATCCATAATCCTGGACCAGGCCGTATCTTGAGCGGCTGCTGTGGTAGTCATGGTGGAGTGGAGAGCATGAGACTGATTCCTGTGACGCTTCAGGGACCTATGAGTCTTAGCAGAGGTCCAGCTTTCCAGCCTCCGGCAGCTTGACTAGCTCTACACAAGGTGTTTAGGCATAAGAGAAATGGACGTGCCCAACTGAGTGTGGTTTCTCTCAAGGTTTTTACTTATTCGCTTTCGTCAATCTGTGAAGTTTTTTTCCTCGCCACTGTCACCTCTAGCTTGCATGGTTTGAGATCTGTAGACCTGCACATCAATAACTTTGCTCTCCAGTGTTTAGACTCTCAGTAGTGATTACTAACCACACTGAACTGAGCTAAATTGAATTAAACTTTTATTAATAATGGTTTTGATTTCAACTTGTCCAAAAAACATCATGTGACTTCAGAAACCTGGAACACAGTGGATGATCAAGTCTGGATTCTTTATAACATTTGTCTGTTGTGGAGCTGGACAGACGTGATTTAGCATTTCTGGCTGAAGGATTCCTGCAAACTGCTGTGGTTACACTCAGACTCCTCTATCAGAAGTTAAATGTGTTTATTTCTCATACGCTGTCGCTGATCAGCTGTTGATATGAGGTTAGTTTGATGCTGATGAGTGTTAAACAGCAGCGCTGCACTTATATAACTGAACACATGAGTGAACCTGGACTGAACCTCACTGAGAGAGAGAGAGAGAGAGAGAGAGAGAGAGAGAGAGAGAGAGAGAGAGAGAGAGTGAGTGTGTGTGTGTGTGTGTGTGTGCGTGTGCGTGTGTGTGTGTGTGTGTGTGTGTGTGAGTGTGTGTGTGTGATGTGGGTGTTTGCTGCAGTTTGCCCAACCCACTGAAACAGAGAGGGATCTCATACACACACACTCACTCACACGCTCACACGCACACACACACACACACACAAATGCTCACACTCTCTCATCCTCCACCCATCAGCCGCAGTGTGTAGGACTAAACTCAGGCTTCTATAAATGCGACTAACATCACATCCTCCGTGATCAAGCCTACTGGACCTGAAAGGGAACCATCACCATTAAAGTGTGAATCAGAGCGAGCGATCGGGTTTGATCTTCCCTTTCCTCCTCCACATGTGACGATTCTTCACACACAGTGAGACACTTCTGCATTGGCAGCATCCGTCTGTCTCTCTCTCACACACCCACTGCATCTCACTGCGCTCCTGCTACGCTCAGCATTTACTCCTCCAGATCTCCTCTTTCATCCACACACACACACACACACACACACACACACACACACACACCAGCACATACTCTCTATTGTGGTTGTAATTCAGGGTTGTTATTTATTTATTCCATTGCTGTAAAAGGAAGAGTAGAGGTGGGCGAAACTGATCAC